CCCCAAAACCCCAAAACCCCAAAACCCCAAAATTAACAATTTAAAATCCAAATGGAGATTGAAGAAGAGATAGAACCCAGGCAAAGTTTTAGCTTACTTAGTGAAGCCCCGAAGAAAACCATCACTCTTAGACCAACAGTTTTGGAGGATGATGAAGAGCTGTTTAATAGTGAAGATTATCAATATATTTAAAAGAATAATCTCTTTCTTCACAGCATCCTTGGTCCTGATTACTACAGTCATAAATGTAAGACAGATGTATGATCCTTTAGTTCGTCCTTACAGCCTCAGCCTACCAAAAAGCTGTAGCTAGTCAGAATCAAATTAATTACTTGTTTGATAATTGGAATAGTCATTATGTAGTAGATATACAGTCAATTCAGGATAAATATAGTTGCCCAAAGGACTATAAGCCTATGGTTAAAAGAGCATGGCCAGGGACAGTTGAAGGATGTAACTGCACCGCCACAAACTTCACGACTCCAACGATCATGAGGGGAGAGTGTACAGAGAAGCAGGTTAAGGCTGATTGCAAAGATATCCAGCCTATTCTGAAAATGGCTCTCCAAAAGTTTCATAACAGATTGATATGAATAAAAAGGGAGCCAATCGATTTTTTAGAAACAGTACGTCCTAACTCTAAAGGACGATGCCCTGGACTTAATCAGAGGTTGTGAGGAGACCCAGATAGTGACTTTAGTTACCACATCTGAGTAAAGGGTAATCAAAAATGTCCAATAACTGATATTATTGTCACAGATGACTCGAGCACGATAAATGATGGCAAATACACCCAAGTCGAGCTTGATGATAATAAGGTGTTACTATTCTCAAAATCAGCTGATTTCTTACCTGTAGTTCAGTTTAAATTAACAGAAGGTTCTCCCTGAATCACAGAAAATGAATATGACATTACCAAAAATAGATATGTGTATAAGCTAATAGATAAATCTACTAATGAAGGCTGCATAACTCCTCTCAACGATGAAACCCTCTACGACAAGAGGTTCCGATTCATTGACGGGATTAGTGAATATGACCTTTTCAAGGATAATGGAATTCTAGATGCGATGAAATCTAACGAGAATTACAAAGGTCAGGAATATTCGAGGGACTACACTTTCAACCTGTACCAAAAATCATACATCCGATGGAAACTTTCTTGTGAAGAAGTAGGGCTGACTAGGCAAGCCATCTACACGAAGGTGCAAAATGTAGAGCAAGCATGGTGGTGGCAATCCCTATTTAAGCTATTCTGCCTTTACAACATGCTGATTACGGGGTTTATATTTGGAGTTGTGGACTGGTCTAAGAACCTCTATGATCTTATCAAAAAGCCAGCCTCGACACATCCTTGACTAGAAATTTGGGGGAAAATCACTCATTGGATTGTCATATCCGTATCGTTCTGTAAGATTTTCTTTGTATATGTCTGAGTAAGCTACATCGATAAATATGAGTACTCCATCAGAATTCTACAGCTAAATAAGTGATCTGATCAGCTCACTAATGACATCTTTGGAGAGCTAGGAAGTTCACTCATGAGTTCTAGACCAGATAATCTCTTGACCTTAAAGCTCACAATGTTGATGCTAGCATTCGAAGCAATCAAATATCTTACCCCAAGCATTGTTGATCTCAGGAAATCGCAAGGATATGTCCATAATTTTAGAAAGAAGGACATTTAAAATTTCAAAATTTTTTTAAAATCCAGGGGTTTTGGGGTTTTGGGGTTTTGGGGTTTTGGGG